ATTAATATTGCTCTCAAGTTTGAGAATATTCTATGTTCTTACTTCAACGTTAAAAACCCATATTTTAGTAACAGACATAACAATATTTTTTGAACAATTTATTGCTTAAAAATATTTTTTAAACTATCAGAAAAATTTAATTTCATTTGACGATATATCTTTATTTTCTTATGAAAAATGCATAAAAATAAAAATCTTTATAGCTCACAAGAGAGAAATTCGTAACACAATAACAACGTTAGATCTATGGTTGTTTGGCCTTACTTCAATGTTGTACTTTTTCTAAGTTTACTTTTTTGACAATACCACGAAAATAAATTGTATACAACACAATACAATAACACAAAAACCATCTATAAATACACTGTATTAAATTTAATAAGACAAAATTTCAGAATAAACATTCTATAATTGTCTTAAAGATACTTTTATTATTGAATGATGGAATATATTTTGGTGTTTTTCAAAATTTATTTTTAAAATATTCATTACATTTTAATTATTTTACCTTATATTTAGGCACAAATTCAAAAATATCGTTTATTTCAGAGCACCAAGAACAAAAAAAGCACCATATTAAATGAAAAAAATTAAATTAAATTTTTGTAAATGTTCCAACATTATTACAATTATCATCATTGCGAATTTTTCTACTTTTATATCGATTTGAAAGGTCAACATTCGATTTTTGTCCATTGAATAATGTTTTTGTCGTATTCTCTGAAGACTGATGTTTTTTCCCTAATCCTTTTTCTTTCTTGCAGAAACATAAAACCACTCGAAAATAATTTCTGAATCTAAAACATAAAAAATAAATNCAATACAATAACACAAAAACCATCTATAAATACACTGTATTAAATTTAATAAGACAAAATTTCAGAATAAACATTCTATAATTGTCTTAAAGATACTTTTATTATTGAATGATGGAATATATTTTGGTGTTTTTCAAAATTTATTTTTAAAATATTCAAATAATTTTGATACCTTTTTCTTATGACTCGTCTATTAATTTTTACGTTTACATATTTAGACACGGGCAATAGATTTTTATGTTATTATTATTTGTAAATGCTTTAAAAAATTATATCGTTTAAAAAATATCTGTGTTAAAAATATAAATTTAAATAAAATTTATATTTTTAACACAGATATTTGAATAATAATAATTTTCTAATGCATAAAAAGTTTTTACATTAAATAAAATATAACAAATTTTTTGGTTGTGGTAATATACAAGTAATTACGATATTTTGAAAACTAATACGTTTCTTTTTATTGTTTGAATGTGGGAAACACCTGATTATTAGAAACTGCTATAGGTTTTGAACAACCGCATCTTTAACCAATAACAGATTAGTATGTCTAGTATTCATCTAATTAGTGATGAATATTATTTAAATTTTTAAAAAATTCTAACTACTTGTAGAATTCCATAACCAAAATCTTGTATTTTTCTATTGTACAAATTATGAAATACATTGCATTAAATCTCGTGTAAAGAGTCACTGCACACACATTTCTTTATACAGTCCCATAAATCTTAACCCACAGGAAAAATTGTTATAAACGCAGTTGTTCGAAACTGATGCTTCTTGTTGCACGCACGAAGTGATAAGATGATGTATATTGTATTGTACAGTTCAGGAGTATTAGATGTGCTGTATTGATAAACAACACGGATTTGTTCTTTCAGATCATTAATTGTACGTAGGCATGTTTTTGTAAACAGTGGATTTCAGTTGATCCCAAGAAAAAAATCTAGATCAAGTACAGACAGAGTAAGATTTACACGTAAGCTAAATAAGAAAACTGTGATTTGAAGTTCACACTAGAGAATATAGTTTAAGATTTCACTTTTTAAATTCACTAGTTAACAGAGGGGAAGATTTCTTATATTTTACAGTTTAGAACCATAATAAGCCCAAATACGGATCTAGATATAAGGGCTTGGAATGAATCTCCATTCTAAGCCCTTATATCTATGAGTACAGGAAATGTATTGCTGTACAATGTATCCCATTCAATTTCTCATATATTCCAATTTCTACAATGGAATCAGACTTATGAGACATTTTTCATTCTTTATATTAAAATATTTATTACATATACATTTTTATTTAATAACCTCTTAAATTTATAATTGCGATTTACCTTTTGTTCATCCAATAGTATACAATAGGATTATACATTGAATTTGACATTGCCAACCAATAAATACTTAAGTAAATAGGCTGCACATACGGTGTATATTGAAAATCTTTATGATGATAAGCGTAAAGAAAGTACACGTGATAAGGTAGCCAACAAACTGCGAAAAGCAGAACTACAACAATAAACATCTTCACAACCTATGAAAAGAAAAAGTAATGATCTTTGAGAAGCTATTTAAATGTCAACCTTATATTTTCATTTATTATTAGTCTCAACTTAACCAGGCAAAATATAAGCTAAGAAAATAATGAAAATACTAAAATCCAGCTGATTAAAAATAATGTGAACAAAGTTGTATACTATATACTTATCATGTTTTTATTATTTCAACAAAGTTGTTATATGTTTATATTAAATGTTTACAATTATAAACCACAAGACANTCCCCGGAGTTTGCACAATATATTTTTTTAATAAGTTTACTCAAATAGAAAAATTAAAAAACGTAATTATTAATAAATTGTGTGATTAATTTTAAATAAAAAAATAGCAAAGCTTTACAAATAAATTTAAATTCCCAAGAGTTTTCATTTATTTTTCAATTTAAATAACTTATGAATTGAAATAAAATTATATTTATTTGATTGATTTTTATTAGATATTAAGTGAAGTTAATGTATTTAAACAAAATGTTTAATTATCTCATTATAGTCTTTATCATTTTTGAAAATGGCAATCTACTTCTGAGACAGCCATTCTCCCAAAGGATACAAATTGAAACATAATAAAGGAATTAATATTTCTCCGTTTTTCCCATGATTTAATTTAATAATATTACTTTTAAGAAAATTAAATGAACATAATTTTTATTATAATTTAACGAGTTTTTAGTTTATTAAATTACTTTAATAAATAAAAAATGGCATTTTTTTTATTTTTCAATGCTGAAGTTTCTTGAACAAAGTAATTCGATATCTCGCAAGTAAGTCAGAAATTGCCACGCAAACCGAAAATTAAATTGGAAATTATTTTAATAAGAAAGAGTAAAAAATAATTTTAAAAAAATTGTGGTTATTTGCATAAATTGGAAATTTGAACGCGAAAAACTCAAATCAAGTACTCAAGATTTATGAAAATGAAGTTTGTGCTGAAAATTTTGACAATGTATTGTACCTAGTTCGAGTGACAGCTGGGTCAGTTAGAATAAATATTATTAGTTTAAAAAGAGATGAAATGTATACGGTAGGACAAAAAATTATACTTTAAATATACCAAATCACTTACAAATGTACAAAGTGATTCGGTATATTCTTACATTTTTATGAAATAACTTACATTTTACATTTGACATATATGAATTTCAAATACCCATTTTGCAACTTTAATGTATTATCATCAAAATGTATCGATAAAACGTAATATAATCTGCTTGTTCAAATGGCATCGATGGATTTTTATATCTTTTATCAAAGGATAACTTTCCATTACTTTCCATTAAATTGTAATTTTATTATTATGTTTAAATAAAAAATTAACATGTAGACAGCATAAATTACTTTAATTTATGCTGTCTACATGTTTAGAATATTCTTTTTAAAAGTCATTTAAAGATTAAAAAAAGAAAAACGATCACAAGGAATAGAATATGTGTATTAAAATATTATCGTTTGTGGGAATGATGTAAAGATTATTAAATTCATTTAAATTTTCAATTAATTATAAGCGAAAATTATGTAATTATTACATAATAAAATTAGTTAATTATTTCTAACTAATATAGTATAGCCCAAAATTCAGTTAACCGTTGTAACAACTAAATTGGTATTTTATTCAGATAAGTAATCATAAGTTTGCCTTGTTCCCATAAATTTTTTGAAAAAACACATTGTAAGTTTAGTTTACGATTTGTGTTCAGAAGGAAACCTGAAACACACGGAAAAAACACGTTAACTGACTTAGGGCATCTGCATATAAATTTTATACGTAGAATTGTGTACATTTATGTAATGAGTGATCCAAAAATTAGTTAACCACTTAAGTTGTAAGACTAAATAACTGTCTTATTCTTAACTGTACTTTTAAATCATGTTTCCATCGATTGTATGAAAAAGGAAAACATATTCTAAACTCAGTTTGCGATTTATATACACAAATGTACCACACTTATGTATAAGAATCGCACAGAATACTAAACCACATGAAACAAAACACGGTTACTCGTCCTTTGGGCCACCCTGTACAGTAAGTTCTAAGCAATAAAGTAAATTTATTAGAATAAAATTAATTAATTACTTATTAAATAATGTTACTTTAATGATAAAATTGATATACCCTTTGCTTAGATTTTACTGCTTCTAGTTGAGGAACTGTCAGTTCACCTATACCTTTATTTCCCCATAGATTTTGGCCCATCCATGTATAAGTGACGATCATAAATATCATGGGAACTACATATGTTACGAATAAGAAAATTATATTGTAGCTGAAAAATAAATTAAAATATTATTAATGAACTTTAATTATATTTTGAAGCAATAATACATAATTAATATTTTAAAAAATAAGACTAGAGTTAAATAATATATAGGCGCGAATCTTGATTAAATTTGTAAAGATAAATGTAATGTCGAATTATTTTAATTAATTCTCTAGAAATTATGTAATAACTTAAATATAATTAAATATATTTAATAATTCTACTCCTTTTATAATGTTAGTTTACAGTAAAAATATAAAGATATCGAGCTTTAAATATAAAAATCTCCGTTATCTAACAGATCAATCATAAGACAAACTCATAAGAAAAGGAAACGCAGTAGGATCATTGACCCAATCGATGAAAATAATAAATAATATTCAAGTATTTAATATTAATTCTAGTGTTATACAGTAAAAAACTAATATTTTTTAGTATATTAACTTCTATTATTGTGCAGCGTACATGTTATATGTAATCCAGAAAGAGCAATTAATTCCAAAAATATTTAATAATTATGAAAGTATTTCTTTATCCGATCGCTTCGTTATCTTTATTCGTGAATACAAATGACTCACTTTCTACAATTTCTTTCGAATTTTTAATGAAATTAAGTCATAAAACGTAAGTCACAAACTTTGATAATGATACTTTTTACTTTGTAATCCATGAATAACAGCTCTTCTATTCACAAAGTGATTCTTCTCTCCTTAGTTACTAAAGATGTATTAAAGATTACTGCTCTTCCCGCTGTGGAAATGATAAAGGCACTCTAATTGGCTGATAGAATTACACGAGTAACAATTGGGATCATGTACAGGATATGAAATCATACAATACATGTTGCTGTTTGTTCTGTACTGTTTGTTCATACNTTAATTAATTCTCTAGAAATTATGTAATAACTTAAATATAATTAAATATATTTAATAATTCTACTCCTTTTATAATGTTAGTTTACAGTAAAAATATAAAGATATCGAGCTTTAAATATAAAAATCTCCGTTATCTAACAGATCAATCATAAGACAAACTCATAAGAAAAGGAAACGCAGTAGGATCATTGACCCAATCGATGAAAATAATAAATAATATTCAAGTATTTAATATTAATTCTAGTGTTATACAGTAAAAAACTAATATTTTTTAGTATATTAACTTCTATTATTGTGCAGCGTACATGTTATATGTAATCCAGAAAGAGCAATTAATTCCAAAAATATTTAATAATTATGAAAGTATTTCTTTATCCGATCGCTTCGTTATCTTTATTCGTGAATACAAATGACTCACTTTCTACAATTTCTTTCGAATTTTTAATGAAATTAAGTCGTAAAACGTAAGTCACAAACTTTGATAATGATACTTTTTACTTTGTAATCCATGAATAACAGCTCTTCTATTCACAAAGTGATTCTTCTCTCCTTAGTTACTAAAGATGTATTAAAGATTACTGCTCTTCCCGCTGTGGAAATGATAAAGGCACTCTAATTGGCTGATAGAATTACACGAGTAACAATTGGGATCATGTACAGGATATGAAATCATAAGTTATTACTTTCATACACGCGAATTTAATTACTTTGTAACATTGAATACTTGTATTATCAGAAATATAAAAAGTAATTAATTATTAATTATATGAGAATTTTATAAGTAATATACATTCTACATTTTTAAAATTGTAAAATAATATTGCTTTTATTGTTTGCATTTTAATTAGGTTTTGTGGTTGTATTTTAATCTGAGTTTTTCTGTTGTTAAAGGGGATGGTTGGTAGTCACAAATGTATATTATATATACAGTTCATATACACAAATATACATACATATACATAATATATCGCAATTACTTAAGGCTATAAAATAATTGTGTGAAAATTGAAAGCATTTCAAAAACAAAAAGTCATAGGTATCTTTAAATTAGAATAAAAATTATATATTATATTATAATATATTCTAATTAAAGGTACTTTACAGTACCTATGACTTGTTTTTGTTTTTGAAATATCTCAATTTTCACTCAATTATTTTATAGCCTTAGGAAAATCGCAACATTTCTTTAATAAGTTATTTATGTTTCGTAGTGTAAAAGTGTAATAAATTTTCAACTTCAGTTTTTTAAATTTTACACTTCAAGAAAATTTAAATAACTTTGTTAAAATTGTTGATTACTTACCATAAAACATGTTTAATTAATTGTTTTTACTATCAAAAATATAATTTTTTTTGCTTCTCGAACTTATTCTAAGGTAGCTTTTAAATTTAAAATAAAAAGTATAAAAACTAATTTTAAAGAAACTCTTTTTATTTAAAAAAATGAATTAAAACTAACAGCGTGGGGCGCTTATGTTTAGAAATATTTTTAGTTACACTTTCTATTATTTTTTTGGTCGTTCCAAAAGCGCCCCATGCTTCTATTTCTGGTTGCATAATACATAAGAACACTGTGAAAACCGGTTAAAAATTTTATTTATTTTTTACTTTTAATGCATTCGTGTGAATAAAAACATTTTTTTAAAATTTGTTTTTTTAATATATTTTTATTTTTTACTTTTTAGTTTTATGTATGTAACACTGAATAGCATCTAACTGGTTTAGCATCTAATTTAAATTACATTATTCACTGTGAGACTAATTTTTTGCTAAAGTTGTTTGCAAACTCTAAAAGAAATATTGTCATCGGGAATACATTTGTATGAAAAGTCTCAATCAGATCGGAAATTAGGAAGTGGATGAAAATTGACAGAGATTTTATTTAGACACAGCAAGTTAATAAAAACCGTATACTAATAATATAAATTTTAACTGTTTTTTGAAGAGTTTAATTCAAAAATTCTTAATTAAATTAATTTAAATTCTTAAATATCTGTTAATATATTCAACAGTAAACAATTAAATTTTTATAGAAGAAAATTTAATTTTATTATAATTAAATAAGAATTTTTTTGAATTGTTTACTAGAAAATTTTAATTAAAATTGAGGAAAAAATATTTTTTGGATATATTTATCTGATAGAATATTCAGAGTGAAAAAGAATATTTCATTAGTTTGTGAGTTTAAAATATCTTTAGAAAGTAGCCGTATAATCAAATGGCATTATTTTTCATTTTATTTCCAGTTACGTAAAGTTTCAATTATTTTTCTAGCAAATATTTTTATCTTGATGTAGGCATCAATATAGTGAATATTTTTCCAATTTAATATAGCGAATATTTGGCATCGTACACCTTAGTATAGAGAATATTTTATATCTTAATATAGATCCTAATCAATAATATAAGCAATATATTAGCACTGAATATAGATAGAAATTACATTTTTTCACTCTATTTACATATAAGTTAATCAGGAAAGATTAAAAAGATATGAATATTAAATTATTTTTTTAAATTAAATTTATCCCCCGGCAAATTAATTCGAGTATTTAATAAAAAATAATTCTTTACTACAAAAATTTTAATTAACAATATTAACAAATCAGATTTAATTATTTAATATAGAGAAATTTAATGCTTAATTACTTTTAATAAAAAATTAATTGAGGAATATTTTTTAATTAAATAAAGTATAATTGATAAATTAAAAACTAATATATTTTAATATCTTAATTAAGCATTTCTTAAGGTTTTATATTAAAAAGATGATAATAGCAATAATTTTATCATTATACTTCACTTTGGTTTTTGTTATTTAAACTGATACTAAATCGAGTATGGCGTTAAACCGAAGTATCTTAAACAATAATTTCTGGTACTTCGATTAAGGTCTTTATTAATATACACATATTCGGTATATTTTAATTTTTAAAATATTCTTTTTATAAATATATTAAATTTTATTTAATGTATTTATTATTATTTAACAAAACATGCAAATAAAATAAAATTGTAGA